GCACTCGACTTTCATCGAGCCTAATAGCATTCCAACGAGAATAATCTCGATAATCATCGACCACCACAATAGTTGCCCCACGAAATTTGCAAACCTTCCAACTTCTCTATATCTTCCCCTTTCCAACCCCTTTATCGTCCATCTGCGTAAAACGAAGAGAAACAAGAGCTAGCCACCCCGTTTTAATCCGCAAAGAAACGTCACCTTTTATTCCCTCGATGATCTCGTCGAGGTTTCGATCTTGATTTTTCGATCTAGAATTACGTACGTCTAAGAGCTGTACCAGATTGCGTGGCGAACGTGCATCTGCCTTGCACCGAATAGCCATAATACAGCCAAGGGAGAAAGAGAGAGTAATGTTAACGTGGAAATTTCGTGGAGCTCGGAGCACAGCTGGTTTCGAGAACTGATTTATCGTGAAACTATCGCGGGGCACACTTTGTCACGCAATCAAATGTGACAGAAAATTATATTAACCGTGCTTGCGGTCTGCTTATCGTGGTCACGTATCGAGATTATGATACACGAACTCGATAATTCATTCAAGAAGCAATAATACCGTGTTTACGACGAGTCACACCGGCGACGAGTGTTTTTTAACAATTAACACAAGTGAGAATTTTATCGATACCGCAGGGTCGTGTGCAGCAATTATTACCGTTCCCTGGTATTTCATTCATATCAATTATTTATTAAATGTAAAACAGAAGGGACATGTCAAAGGTATCTATCACGTGTGTGTGTGTGTTTGTGTAAGGGTGGAATATTTGTACGTTGATCCGGTGGTGTGTGTTGCAACACGGTCATAAACACAGCCGTGTTCCCGTGAAATTCGACCAAATATCGAATAATGAAAAGCATATTGAGCCTGGTGGCATGCAAATTTAATTTCTCGACAAATATCGGGGCCGGTTTCGTGCGCGCGAAAATGTGCGCTTCCGGTGATCAGGGAGGGCGTTGTGCGTGGGGGCAAATTTTGATGTGGGCACGGCGGAAATGTTCAGCTGCAAAGAAAATTTCATTTGCCGTATAAACGTTTCATTTAGTCCGACTCGAAAACGAAGCTTTATGCTTGTTCATTTTGCGGCCAGCATTCATATTCCACGCGTGAAATGAAACGCGAGCAATGATAAATATACTTTCAACTTCGATATCCACGTGTGGTACATTTGCAAGATACAGTTTATTTATGGTAATCAGTTATGACGGTGGAAATATCTTTCGGGTATTTATGCGTTTGTTAATTAAGTGCAAGCATATGGAATTTCTTTAGCGTTTGAAAATACTTCAACCCTCTGTGACACAATTTTTCTTCATCGGGGAGGGAAATTGTGGTTAACCAGAATTTCACATTTTGATGAGAGAAGCAGGAATTAATTATTACAGCAAAGAAATTGTGTAGGAATAAAAAAATTAAGTGAGTTTTGTAATATGTAAAAATATACAGAAATGTAAAATAAAGAAGAAGAAAAGAAATTTTTATATAAAATGAAGAATGTACAGGGTGAGACTTAAAAATGTACCCAAATTGAATTAATGTCAAGAAAATTGCATGGAAACCTAAGTAAATTTTATAAAATACAGAAATATAGAAAAATGTGTGAAAATATAAAATGAAGAAAAAAATTTTTATATGAAACGAAAAATGTATATGGTGGGACTTGAAAATGGATCCGAATTGAATTAATGTCAAGAAAATTGCATGGAAACCTAGCTTAAAACTGCGCAAATAATTTTTATGCCCACTGTAGTTTACACGAGGACGAACTGCTCAGATGAGACAATTAATTATCGTTTGTCTAACGAAGATACGTCGGTATACTCATTTCGAAATTACGGAGGATTTGGTGACGGTAGAGGGTGAAATAAATCAACGGGTCAAAGGGACGTTTACGTAGTATAAAGTTGGCAACGGCGAACCCGGGCCTCTAAAAGTAAAAGTTTTCCGGTGCAATAATCGCAGGTCATAAAGGTTTATCTGTTTATTACGGCGGCCATTGCCTCTCGAAATGGGCTGTAACTGATTTTGTCAACGAAACAAACGTCCGGCGTTTATTGTCTCGTGTCTACATGCTCCACGGCTTCGTCGCGGTACGATCGCCGTAAGACGTCCTCCTCTCCTCTTTTTTTATAGTTTTACGCGTTTATTGACAAGGTGTTACTGCTTGTAAGCGTGCCGCGCGTCAATCCGACGATTCTCTTCATTTTTCCCTGCCCTCGTTACAAATAGTGCATCGTCAAGTGTAATAAATATCCGAAAACAACGCTGTAAATTCTGGATAAAAATTGTTTATACCGTGCAACTTTGTCTTATTACTACTATTCAGAAGCTTTCCAACGCGATTCCTCTGTCGGTTAAGTAGAACCAATTTTGGGGAACTTACAAAATGAATTCAAGAAAAATTTTCCTCACTTTTACTTTTCTTCCTTTAAGAAGTCGACAGATTTTAGAGTCACTCACAAAACAGTTAAATCACCATTTTAAAATGTTTCAAATCTAACACAAATATATTAACCTATTGCTACTGAATACAATAGGACTCTGGTCTTTGCAAAACATTACGCTGTATTATTGACCATGACGTTATTGTCATAACTCTTTAATCTGGAATTTATAAACTTCCCTTCGTATGAAATTTTACTCTTATTTCTGCCTGTAGAACACACTGGCAAAGTTTGTCCAAAAACATTTGGGACACCCTATAGACACAGCGTTCCCCTACATGTCATATTTCTGCCATAACTTCTTAACAAAGCATTTACAAACTTTCCGTCACATAACATTTTACTCTTATTTTCACCTGTAGAACACACTGGCGAAGTTCGCCCAAAAACATTTAGGACACCCGGTATATTCAAATTGTACCCTCTTCGTCCACTTTCAATTTTATTTTATCGAAAAAAATTCAGAGAAAATTCGTGCCTGGAGCATCGCAGCAATCAGCGTGAGGTATGTCGAGAAGAGAAAAGGAAGAAGACGTTCATTTGCCTCGATCCCGAAATTGCGTAGGAAAATGGGAAAAAGGAGGATCTAAAATATGAAACGGAATGTTCGAGTGTCGCCAAAGAGGATTTGCGAGAGGCAGGCTGATTGCTACGATCGCAGGGAGCCTCGTCGGAATCGACCCCAGCCGTGTGCCACCGCTAAAGGCGGGTGCATAGTATAACGTAGAACAGAGGAATCGTCGGACAGAGAGAGTGAGAGAGTGAGAGAGAGAGAGAGAGAGAGAGAGAGAGGTGAACACATCGCGCGCCGGACGTGTATACGTGCGTCATAAGTGTGGCTGGCGCGCGCAACGCGATACGATGCGAACGATGCATATGCGGGACGTGTAGAGGAGAGGGCCCTGGTGTGTGGGAATTCTTCTGAAACGTTAAATAGTGTTTACTCGTCGGGCCACGCACCGCATAACACACTCTTGCACTCGGGCTCTTTCATCAATGAACTCTTTCTTTTACGCAACGAAGAAACGCGCGCACGCAACCCCATGGGAAAACGCGATTATCGCGAGCGTGTATGCAAAAACCGTCGCAGATTTTCCATACGAACTTTCCATCTGATCGATAGAAACTTCCCGTTCGCAATGTGAAACTGGTGAAATTGCGAGGGACTTGGAGCGGTTTGGAAATTTCTGCTTCAACCGGAGAGTTTGGAAAATTTGAATTTGAATTGGGAAACTTGAAAGATTCAATTTAAGCCAAACTTGAAAGATTGAAAGAGTAATTTGGAAATTTGCAAATTTGAATTTGCAAACTCGAGAGATTGAATTTAAGCCAAACTTGAAACATTGAAAGAGTAATTTGGAAACTTGCAAATTTGAATTTGCAAACTCGAGAGATTGAATTTAAGCCAAACTTGAAACATTGAAAGAGTAATTTGGAAACTTGCAAATTTGAATTTGCAAACTCGAGAGATTGAATTTAAGCCAAACTTGAAAGATTGAAAGAGTAATTTGGAAATTTGCAAATTTGAATTTGCAAACTCGAGAGATTGAATTTAAGCCAAACTTGAAAGATTGAAAGAGTAATTTGGAAATTTGCAAATTTGAATTTGCAAACTCGAGAGATTGAATTTAAGCCAAACTTGAAAGATTAATTTGAAAATTTGAACTTTCAAATTTTGGAATTTTGGAAATTTGGAATCTTGAAAGATCGAACCAGTTGGGTTACAAAACGTCTTCATTCCTTCATTCACTCATTCCCATCACAGTTGACAACCTAATCAACGATTAAACCTCAACATTGAATAATTTCTTCACCAATTCCCCCGCCAAAATTCACGATAAAAAGACTCTTCCTCTCGCTGACCCATTTCGTCCATCTGAATTTTCCCGAAAATCGACTATCATAAATTTCCTCTTAACAAAAATCATTTTTCTCATCGTACAAAGTAACTCGGTAATACGTCCGATCGATGAATGAAACACGAACTCTACAGCGCATAATACGTCGTTTCTTCCAACATTTAAGTCTCCCATCGGCAAAAAAGCTGCGGGTGAGGCGACGAAAGGAGCACCAAAGGAGAGACTCAAATTTCGATGGTGGCTATATCGTGGCGTCCCGGGGGACGGCGTGAATTCCCACACATCAACAGGTCTCAGGAGGACCGTGGACCTCCCCTCTCCGAAGGTAACCGGGAACCCCACTCCAGGACGCACTTCACCCCACTCCAGACACGATGAGTGCATCGGCATGCGGTCTTCGAAATCGAAAACGTCAAACAGTTACCCTCCACACCCCAAGCGGGACGACGCCGGTAGCGGCGATCATCCCCTTCTCCAACCAAACTTCTTCACTTGAATTTCATCAACGGGACACGTACATGCGAAATCACCAATGGACCTCGTGTGAAAACGGTTATTCATGGAGCTATAGTCTCACACTGAACTCTCACGTGCTTGTTGTGATCTTGGATCGACGAACAATTGGAGTACTTTTCTTTTATTTTTGGCTGTCTGTTTGTGCGACCGATAACAGTGATTCGACGTTAAAGTGCATAAATGGTGGATTATTACAATTACAAGATGTCAGGCAGCGAGGAGGAGCCTGAGTCGCATACGCAACCAGGGATGACCAAAGCGGAGTTGCGAAGGGTAAAACTGAATTCGAAACTTGTACTTTCGAGGGTTTTGTGAAATTACGAGGGAAGGTTGACGGAATGTGTCAAGGTGTTGGATAATGTCATTAAGAATTTTTAAGTTTCTTAGTTGAATTATGGATGAATCATGTTTCTTGGAGTCGAGTGTGAAATATCGAGAGTTCACGCATTGTTTTCATTGCTAATTCATTCTGATTGGAAAGAAAATATTCTTTTGTCATTTTCTGATTAGATGTGTTGTATTAGATGGTAAAGCCATGTGCTGTGTGTTCACATTGTAATTACTAGATTCCGGATGTTTATGCACGATAAATATAGAAGAAGAGTATGACATTTATGCACGAAGAAATATGCAAATGTGCAAGAAAAGTGTGCAAATATGCAAGCAAAATATGCAAATATACACGAAATATTTGGGATGTTGGGTATTAACAATATATTTTGCAATTATTGTGATTGTGATATGTTATAATTCGAATTACAATATGTTACAAGCATCTTTTCCATATTCGATGGTGTTATTTGGCGACGTTTGTCTATAAAAATTAACTTGCATACGGAGAATGCCAGGATGCAACGGGTGCATACTTAAATTTACTCCAGCAACATTCTTGTACTTCTATTGGCCCTTCAATGAATTCATTAGTCAAAATTTTTGAGATTTTTATTAATGTAGATAATCCTGTATTTTTTACCATAGTACCCCTTGTGTTCTTTTTGATTTTTCCTCCGCAATCACCAGGTATGTTGATTAAACGATTAATACAATTTATATACATTTCTATTGAATTGGTTAGCGGTGACCTATTGTTTCTAATTTCCCCATTGTGGCCGGTAAAAAGCTAAAGTAAGTTTTCGTAAACATTAAATCTTGTTATTATTAATAACAAAGTTAGGCTCTTTCGTCACACTCGAATTATAACAATCGTAGAATAATCTGAATGACATCACAAAGTATGCACATTCTCGCTACATTCCTCGAAACAACCGTTGAAATTTACCCCTCTGTAACGCCACGTGACCGAGAAGTTACACAACACGTGTCAATACTTCATAAATATCGCTCTATTGTTGCAAAATTCGATTCCTCTCTAACAATCGTCGAATCTTCCCCCGCGAGACCCCAATTCTCCTCCTCACGATCAAACAAACATTGAATTACAACGAGCAAAAGAATGCACATTCCTCGTAAGTAAAATCATTCCCCAATTGCAGAGCAACAAGCCGATCATGGAGAAGCGGAGGCGTGCTCGGATAAATCAGTGTCTGGACGAGCTGAAGAGCCTGATACTCGAGGCGATGAAAAAAGACGTGAGTACCTATGTTCATTCGTCTATCAGTCTGTTATCAGTCCCGTGATAACAATGATTTCACGCGATCGATCGGTTGACCAGAGGAGCAATTAGACGTGACACAGGGGGGCAGGCGAAGTGTTTCTTTTTCTCATCGTTTCTCTCCTGGCGAAGAACGAACGATAAGCATCAGCGAAGCTTGCGTGCGAACGATAAGAGGGCAAAAGCGTGCGCCTATACGCGTGATTTGAGTCGGTCCGCTCGTCGGATCCACGTTGTAGCTGGCGCCCGAAACGTGCCGCGAAAAACGTGACCGGTCGACGCCTTATCTAGTGACGTGATACGAGGTGTACAGGGAGATAACGCGGAAATATGTGCAGCCTCTCTTGTCAAACGACCCTGAAGAGAAATTTTTTTCTCGTTTGCGCTCCGGTCGTGGGATTTCACGCTTTGATGCCTCGTTATCGGAGATTTTGCCGATTATTTTGCTACATTTGAGGAGGGAGATCGATGTTACGAATGGGGTCGATAACTTTTACCGTTTCGCCCCGTTCAAACATTTCCACCGATTATTTCAACGTTATCGCTCGTCCTCGATTAACGATGCACCGCACCGCAGATGAAATTTTTAACGAATCCTACCCAACTGTTGGAAAAATTACAAGTCCTCTCGCGTTGACTCGTTCGAAAATTGACCCCTTAGGTGACTCGAACGTTGACTTAAAAATTGATCCCTCGAGAGTTGAAAAATTCTATGTTCTCGGTAAGTTCGATGATTGCTTGCGTAACGATTTTCATTCGACCTTGGAATATCGAAGATTGCACATTACACAACGTAATAGTTATTGATTTTTGGAACGTACGTCCGAGGCTCCGATTTGTTTTCGAGAGATCAAGTTTGGCTTGATGATTCAAGGAGGTGAATCGGATTGTCTGGTTAACATTCGAGGCTTTGTTTCTCCAACGTCTGAATTCTATAAACAGTTCCAGTAGAATGCGAATAAAAATTGCTACGGCCAATTGAGTGTGAACTAACGGTCGACGAGCGAGTAATTACTTTTTGGTACTCGTTTGAAGAATTATGCGACCGTCTAAAAATAGTCAGCAGGATCATTCATGAGATACGGAGCGTTGAACGTAATCAGCTGAGTAGAATCAGTTACGCTTGCTCAGTCTGAAACAGGAGCTACTGAAACACTATAAACAACAAACTTAAGTCCACATCTCGTACGTGTATAATCCAAGAATTCGTCGCAGAGTAACGCACGTTTCTTCAATGATTCAACGTTCGTTCATTTTCTCTGCAAAAAAAATTGTCCAAGACTTCTCGTCACGTTGAAAGTGAGAAAGAAGAATCGGTTTGGAAGTGCATAGGTTCGAAGATCGAGAGTATCGATATAGGTTCTACGTTGATCGAGAATTGTTTTGGCCGAAAATCTTCGACAGAGAATATCCAAGGCGCACGATACACGTTTATGAAGTGACAATTGAAATTGATCGAAATTATAATCGTCAGATAAGCCATACAGAGTCTACGGTGGGTCGAGATTGTTTCGATGCTGCTGGTATAAAGGTCAAGAGTCGATCTTTTAATTAAACTGATAGGAAGAGCCGCACAGCGGATGTTGGCTAGAAGTGTTTGATCAGGCCGTCTCCTTTTTCCCTCGCCGCCTTCCTCTTGCCCGACACGATTTGTTTTTCGACCGTAGAATCGGGACTAGCGGTAGCAGAACGTGGACGGGTTTTGTTTTAGTGTTTTAGATGCCTCGCCGTGGGAACGGATGGTGGAAGTCCTCTACCAACACGTAATCTCCACCGGAGACTCTCCACAATGGCACTTCAGCCTTTTCGAGTGGCCAACCACCGTTGGCCATATTCCACTTAACCTCGGATTTAACCAAATTTCAATTCATCACGGCCTTCAGTTTCCCAGGAGTTCATTCTTCAATTAGAAAATTTCTATAATTGTCGGGAATTGAAAAATTAGGCATGAAGTTGACCACATTTTCCACTTGTCTCCGGTTTTAACCAAGAGTTTCTCAGGAAATCATTTTTAAATCAGGGAGTGTTTGTAATTATCGAGAATTGAAAAATTAGCCATGAAATTGATAACATTCTACTTAATCCCAGGTTTAAGTAAATTTCAATTCAGCTGAGTCTTGAGTCTCCCAGGAGTTCATTCTTAAATTAGAAAATTTCTACAATTATGAAGAATTGAAAAATTAGCCATGAAATTGACCGAATTCCGTTTAATTCTAATTTTAACCAACTTTCGATTCAGCGTAGCTCTCAGTTTCGCAGGGAATCACTCTCAAATTAGAAAATTCCTACAATCATCAAGAATTGACAAATTAACCTAATTGACTACATTCCACTTAACTCCAGTTTTAACCAACTTTCAATTCATCGTAGCCCTCAGTTTCGCAGGGAATCACTCTTAAATTAGAAAATTTCTACATCAATCAAGAATTGAAAAATTAGCTAACATCTTTACCAGGCGATTAATCAGTACCGAAATTTTCATCCCATAGCGACAAAAAGTGTCGATAACTCACAGAATTTTCAAACTTCAAATATCGAAGCGCGAATATATCAAAAAGCTGACGGAATTAACAAACTTTACTATCAGATTATTAAACTGCGAGAAAAAAAGCCAGCGCAGCTTTTCGCAATTTAAAATGAAATTCTGTCTTTCGCGTAAAAACAACGGTGGATAATTGAAAAAATCAATTTTTTCGGGAAGAGTTTCAATCTGATCCGCGAGACTTGGGATCCGTGGACAGAGACTCTCTCTCTCTCTCTCTGTTAAGCCACGTAACACTATCCAGCGAGATTGATTTCTCAGACAGGACTATAACGAGAGAGCAAGGCGCGCTCTCACCATTCTCTCCTCCTCGTCCAGATGACTTCCGCTACCTGCTCGCTCCAGTGTCCGTCCTGTTCGGCCGTACGAAACGCCCCCCGCGTTCGTGGGAACCTCGAAATAATTATTACGAAGAAAAAAGAATCTCATCTCGGGTTGCAGCCTCCCTTTGTTGACCGTATCATCTTTAAGGATCCAGGTTCGCGAGGACGACGGTGCCGATCGGCGAAAAAAATGAAGAAGAAAAGAGAGAAGAAGAAGGAAGAAGAAGAAGAAAGAGAAAAAAAACGAAGCAGGATGCTCGACGCCTTTGGCTTTTAGTTGCTCCTTTCAGCAGGTGTCTCGTCTCCCTCTGATCTACTCTCTCGGTGTCGTGTTCGCCTCCACGGGAAAAGCCGATTTCCGCATCGATTTTCATCTTCTCCGATGTAACCGTATTTACTCCCCCCCTCGTGTCCACCAGATGAAAAATAACAATATATCTTTTTGCAAAACCTGCGCCGAGAGAGAGATTCGTTGTTTTGGACAACACCTTCGCGTTTCTTCTTGTTTGTGAACTTGTTCCCATTGCTCTATCGAGCCAGAACGATGGGACGAGGAAAGAGCTTCAATGGCCTGTGTAAGCGATCTCTTCTTCGACTCCCACGCTTATTTTAAAAGGTGACCGCTGGTTTACCATAAAAATGCGAGCACTCGGCTGATCCTAGGGACCTAGAGAACCGTGACGCAGAATGGGCACAATAGGATTTCAGTGTTGTGTAGAGGTGCATCGGTATTGAGCGATCGATCCCTAAAAGGCTAGTGGGAATCCGTGGAATATTGAAAGGGCTAGTGTTGTGGTGCATCGACGAAAGAAAGCTTCCCGAAGGCTTTCGAATTTCTAACGGGTTCCCACGACTAGACTCGCTTTTATTTCTTCTCTTCCAGCATCTTCCTGCGAAGAGGAAACTTTACAGGTCCAGGTGAAACAAGGTATCTAATTGGAGCGTATAATCGTTTCTTCGTGCCTGCTTTCTTTTTCGTCGATTAAAAAACAATTTACACGACAGATG